GGGGGGGGGGGGGGGGGGGGGGGGGGCACAAGGACAGAACCTGCAGGACTATTATGAAGCCTTTTGTTTTATGAGGGGAAATTAAAGCAATTAGTAAGGGGGGACGGGGAGAGATCAACTACTTATGTACCTGGAAAGAGTGGGAGGAAAACTGATTGTGTCTAAAACAAAACACATTTAAACAAAGAAATTCCATCGTGATGGCTAATGCACCTAGTGGTAGCCAGGATTCAGAGTTTGCAGCTTTAAAGAGAAATATAAGCAAGCAGGAGCATCTTATATTCAAGCATATTTTTTCAAGAATCAAAGAAAGACAGATGTAATAACAACAAGAAAAGAAAACATCAGATCTCTCTCTGGAATGGCTTTAAAATGCTTTATCAAGCATTAAAATGTATGTTAAAATGCTTGTGTTGTTAAACTTCTCCACAGCGGAAGCAAGCTCAGTTCTATGAGAATATAGTGAAGGTCATCCGGCCCAAACCGGACTACTTCGCTGTGGGCTACTACGGAATGGGGTTCCCGTCCTTTCTGCGGGTGAGTACTTGCATTGACAGACATTTCTTCTTGATCTTGGGTACACGATGCGCTTTCATGGGTGGGCTTAAGAATGTATACCCCTCTTTTATTAAGTGCCTAAATATAAATCTGCATTATAAAGCATCTGAGCTGTTTGTCCTCCTTGCTGAGGAGTTGTCAACAGTGGCTTTCGCTAAATACGGTGCTGGGTATAGTGCCGAACAAATGTTCATGTTTAGTGCTTTACTTTTAGTTGGCATGCCCAAATATTTTAAGGCATCTCTTCAAATCCTTTGCCAAGTCCGACCAAATTCTGAGTTAAAATTTCATTACCATGATTTTGAGGTGACGTGGAGGGAGAATTAAATCCCTTTAGAGCAGAGGTTCCCAAACTGTGCGGCGCGCCCCCTAGGGGGGGCGCCGTGTCATTGCAGGGGGGGCGCGGGAAGCCGTCTGGATGAAAAAAAAAAAAACATGAACACTGTATGCGCTGGGTTTTTACCTTAGAATGGCCAACTCTCTGTTATTCCTATGTCAATTTGATACAGTAGGGGCTTCCACACTTCCCATATTTGTGTCCTCTGTCACTTTTATCAGCAGTTAAAACTGTTTAATCTATTGTTAACATGTTGTAACCCGTTTTTCCGAGCCGCCTTTAAACGCAACATGAGCGCTACGACGCTGAGTTTCCACCTGTGAAGGAGACCTGCTGCTGCTGGGCGGAGCTACAGGTGTCTTAGAATCACGGCAGCAAACCAGCAAAACGCAAAGAACTTTTCACAGTTTTTCCCTCCAAACTAACCGACTGAGTTGAGTAAAGCTGTTGGATGCTGTTGGTTAGCTAAAAGATGACTAGCTAATATCAATACAGAACCTTAAGCTTAACAAGTACCTGGTAGGCTACCGATGTTGGTGTCTATTGCCCCCAAAAAAGTCATTTTGCCCCCACCCCATCACACGGGTCGTTTCAACCAGACAGCCATTTGTAATCCATGGAGGGGGGGCGCAGAATATGTTTGGAAACCCCTGGGGGGGGGCGCAGAAGAAAAAGTTTGGGAACCACTGCTTTAGAGGAAGGTACACATTAAAAATGGGCCACAATGAAAATAGCATCTACCGTTAAAACATCCAAATGTCTGGATGCAATCTGAGCAGCAGATGGTCTTAAAAATGCTGGCACCAAGCAGAGAGCTGTGCCAGCTTCCTAAAACGTGACCGATTATGAATATTGAAGTGTTGGTCAAGGCAATAGATCCCACCTCCTTCATTCATTCACACAAGATAGGTGGCCTCTTAACCTGAGCTGATGTTTTTCAGTGCTAAATATCCTGACTGGACACGGGCCAATCAGATCACAGCTTCTCACAAATTAAGTAGCCGTTTGATATTCATCATCTGTGGAGCCGCCGTGTGCATGTCGGACCTCATTACCATTTAATGAAAGATGTATTCCTGATTCCCCAAAGCTCTTTGTTTAAAATAAAATTAATTGCATCTTTTTTTTATTTGTTTGTGCATCGCTGTGTGAGAGAGGGTTTAATCTTAAGCCAGAGCTTTTTGTTTGTCAGAGGGAGAAGCAGCTGCAGTGCTGACAAAGGCAGATTTGTTTGCCTTTAATGTATTCTTGGAAGAGCTCTTGTGGTTTTTGTTTTTTGTTTTGTTTTTTTTTAGCCTGTCATTTGGCACGTCACCCAAGGTGCTGTTTTCTTGTTTAGAAGGATTTCAGTCGCTTATCACTCAAGCAGCACACTAAATGGCTCTCAGAGTGATGATCCCGATCATGCCCTTTTCATTCTATTATGAACAACAGACCTCTGAGCTGGGACTTTTGCTTTGCTGCCGATCACCATGTGGACCTCCTAACCCTTTTTATCTGCCGGGGCGCAAACTCCATTACAGACGGGGCAAGCCGTGTTGGCCTAATCTAACTGGCTCTTTAAACAGCCTTTTGGGTTGGACGAGACTTCTTTATTCTTTTCGTATTGGACTGACCTTACCCAAATAACAAGGGCAACATGAATACCAGACTTGCTTTCCCAGCGGGAGCATGTGTGAACTCTTCGTTGGCTTATCTATTTTTGCTATTTCCTGGGCATTACAGGACAAAACATGTTTTTCTGTGCCTTACATAATTAGTCATACATTATAAAAAAAATACACTTTTCACTAAAACTGAACACTTTTGGGGTTATGTTTTGTATCGCTCTGTGCTTCTAGAGACTGAAATTTTTACCCTCTTTACAGAATTGCTTAATCTCAATCGGACTGAATTGAGAGCCTCTGTAAAGATCGGTTTTCAAGTCTTGCTTCAGATTCTCAGTTGGATTTTGGTCTGGATTTTGATTGGGTTATTCCAAAACTTGAAATGCGTTGATTTAAATCATTCAGCTGTGGCTGCATTTGCTTTCTTGTTTAAACATGAACATGTGGGAGCGTCGTTCCATGTCCATTTTTAGTGGATGGATGTGATTTACTGATATCCAAGCATATGCAGGTGAACTCTGATTGCCAATTAGCTCACTTCTGAATGGAGTTGGTTGCGGTGGATTTCACTTAGGGGCCTTCAGTTAAAATTGTCTGAAAACCAATGTAAATAAATTCTTCAAATCTTTTTTTTTTTATAAAAGAAAACCATGAAAAAGAAAATGTTCCCACCACAGTTACTATGTGCATTTAGAATACATCTGTGTTTCTGCTTTAATTATGGTAAAATGTAAAAAGCTCAAAGGGATTACATGATTCACAGTGTTGGGCATAAGTACTTATCCTATCAGATGCTACACTGTTTTTACGTCTATCTTGCATTGCTGTTGATAAGCAGCTATATAAATGTTGCATCTTTTTTGTGCAGCCTTTTAAAAATGATCCAAAGAGACTTTCTTGAAAGCACACAAAGAACTATTCAGTTGAGATTTGGTAATTACAGTAATTACAGTTTTGAGGCTTTCTCATTTCCCTCTGTGTGTTTCATTTTGTCTTGTAGCATCATTGTGACCCTGGGGGAAAAAAAATCAGCTTTTTGGGGGGAAAAAAAGAGTCAATTTTCTTTTAAAGATATTTTGTTTCCAAGCCTCCCTACAAAATTGATTTCACGCAAGAGTGCGTAATTTAGCTTCTTATGATCTATCACATGTTATTTAGCAAGACACTGGGGTATTTATTAATGACGAACTGTTTTAGACCTAACAATTTGCATGCTTCGGTGCATGCTTCTTCTGGTATCCTTGTGAGGAGACAGCTGACTCTGTAACATGGTGTGCAGTTCCTCTAACCAGGTTAAGTTAAAGCACCAAAACCAGTATTTCTGCATTTCAAGTGAACTATGTGTTCTTTAAAAGAACCATTTATCCATCTCACTGGTCATTTATCCATAAGTAGAATATAAATCTTTATTCTCATTGTACCAACATGTAATGTGCACTAGTACAACAAAATTGGTCTATTGATCAACCTAAGCTGCATGTAGCTATGAAGCCCTTTCTCCATCCTACTGTCCACTTCACTCCCTGGCCACATTCACCAAATCATACATCCTCATACATAATACACAGATCAGTTGGCACCTTTGGATTAAGTGCCTTGCCCAGGGCACATCAAGATATTAAAAAGGTCAGTTTGTCTTCTGCTTGTTTTTTTTTTTTTATTGAGAAGCGACTCGCCACTGAACCACAGTAACCCACAAATAAAGAAAATAAGATTTCTATTTGAGTCTGCAAGATGAGCGAATACGGGCATTAAAACTGTGTCCACATTCAAAACAATGTTTAAAAATTTACTGATTGCTCAATCTCAATCAGACTGAATAGAGAGCCTGTTAATCAGTCTGAGTAAGTTAAAAATGTAAAATAGATCAAAGTATCCATGTTCCTCTAGTTTATGTTGTATATAACAACAAATTGTTCTGTATTGATGTGAGCTTGTCCGAAAAGCTCTGATCTCAGGGCCTCACAGATCTTGATCTTTGTCATTTGCGGGTTTCAAATTTTCTTTTAACCAACTGACTGAGAAAGAAAGGGCAATTTTAGCATTTATTATTTGCATTTTCAAAAATACCCAGTGCTTGTTAAAAGGATGACACCAAAATCATGAGTCTTTAAGAGAAATTGTTAAGATTGTTTTCTACACAAGTTCAGTGTTTGGGTGTTAAAGATTCAGATGACTTGGTGAACAAACTACAGCAGAGTTTTGCTCGGCTGATGGGAAGGATGACTGTTGAACCCAATCCTCTTCTGTCAATTTGTCAATCACAGCACATTTTGTAAATGGCCCCGAGCAAATATCACGCCTACAATACATCTAATTAATCGGGGAATTGAGATGTGTGCTAAACATAGGAGCGAAGCTCTCTTTGTGTGCACTTGCGTGCAGTAATAAGCTAACATGGATGGAAGCAAATATTACATTTGTCATACCCAAAGTGCAATCCTTCAGCTCATTTACTCAAAACCCTGATTAAATTTCAATCAGAATTTGGGGAAACCTTTGACTTTAAAGGAATGTATTAATAACAAAACAGGTCTTTCAAGTGTTGACTTGTAAATCTTAACCAAAAAAATAAACATGGGCAGTGATCTTTTTTTTATAAGGTGACATGGCTCACCACCCAGGGAGCCATTCCATCAAAGGGTGGCACAAACACTCAACAAAATAATCAGTTCTCTGTTGGATAGTAAATTCCTTTGACACTTTCTTTAAAGAAATTTGGACCACAGTTGGCCATTTCTACTCCCAAATATAAATCGATAAACTGGCAAGTTCTGATCTGGAATGATCTACTCTGAAATAACACTCTTTAAGATTTATTTCATCTACCAACTTCCGTCAACTGTTTTTCTTTGATTTAGATGTGGACTTTGACTCTTCACCCTGGTACATTGATAATCACTGACCTAAACCATTTTTTTTTTGTACTTCTGTCTAAATGTTTAGGGTAGTTCTTCTGCTCTATTGTGGAATACAGAACACACATGTATGCTTTCAGATTTTATCTGTGCAAATTTTAAAACCCTGAATTGCAGCATTTCATAACATTTCACAACTAAACACATTGAGATATGCAAGATTAATCAGATGAAGGGATGGGAATACTTCTTCACAGCATTTTAACTGGGCAACATCAAACAATTTTCTTATGAAATAATGTATTCAATTAGATTTGATCAGATACTGTGACATCCCTCAGCTAATGAGGAAAAAAACAATTGAATGTCACCTTTCACAGGAAAACATATGGTGTTTTGTGTAGCCAGCTGTAGACGTACAAGCTGTCTTTATATTGTACAGCTTAATGTATGTATGAAACTAATAGATGAAGTAAATTATGTTATTTTGTTTCAAACAGATGCACTGTTTTTCTTTTCAAGCGAATGGAGATGAAGGCCTTTAGACAGCCATCCTGATACAGTACCTTCATAAGTGTTTGCCGTCTTGCATGTTTTACCCTTTTTATTGCTTTTACAAATAAATCATGGTCAACAAAAATGTTTTTGCCAAACATAGTTTCCAAAATAAATAAAAAAACTATATAAAAACACTTATATATGTTTTAATAATTATTATTTGTATTATTTTATTATTTTTAGTTATTGTTATTGTTATTATTTTTAATTAATGGAGATCCACTGAGTGCAGTGAGTTTGCCTCAAGTGTTTTACAGCATTAAAAAAACCCTAAACACTACAAATAAGAGAATATGTTGTTGAAAAGGATAAGTCAGGGGATGGATACAAAAAAAAAATCTCTAAGGCCCTGAACATCCCCAGAACATCAGTTAAATCCTTCATGAAGAAATGGAAGCACTATGGCCCATATTTAAATCTGTCTAGACCAGGTTGTCCTTTAAAACTGAATGACAACGCAAAAAGGAGACTAGTGAGAGAGGACATCAGGTTACCATGACTATGCTGAAGGAGTTACGGGCTTCAGCAGCTGAGGGAGGGACTCATCATCTGTTGCTCAGGCTCTTCGCCAATCAAAGCATTTGGCAAGAGCGGCAATGAGAGTTTTCCTCACTGTTGAAGAAAACTTATATTTAAGTTTGACTAGAGTTTGCCAAAAGGCACGTCTCCACTTTTTTAATGATGTTTCATGTTTAAAGCAGTAGAAAGGGTAAAACATCCAAGGGGGTGAATGTTTTTTATAGGCACTGATTTCCTGACAGTGTTAGAAGCACTAGATTATTTTTAAGGCAGCTTCTTTGGCTGCCTTTTGTTTGAGTAAAATTTGAATTCGAACAGACGTATCTCATTTTATGTGTGTCTAATGTAGAGTTCATATTGATGCATTTAACTTTGCTATGGTAAGAGACCAAGATCACTTGCAGAACCATGGGAAGTGGTGATGTTATTTGAATTTCTGTTTTGACTTTTATCCTCAGATGAATTTTTAACCACCAGATCTTGTAAATTCTCTTTGCTGTCCCTGCCCTGTCATTTTTCCTAGTTTATATTCATAAAGTGGGTATTGTGTGCACACATGTGTGCAAATCAGCCTGTTTTCTTATGGACAGTCAAGGTCTCACTGGTTTCCTCCTTTTTCTTCAGAACAAAATGTTCATGTACCGTGGGAAGGAGTACGAGCGCAGGGAGGATTTTGAAGCACGGCTGCTCACACAGTTTCCCAACGCAGAGAAGATGAAGACCACCACGCCGCCCAGCGAGGACACAAAAAACTCCTTTGGACAATGTATCCTCAGCATGATGTCCCAAAGTCTTACTGAATTACAGACAGGGCAGCAGAATAGTTCTTACAAATGGAAACTATGCTTGGACCTTCACTCTGCCTTAGTTTATTCAGTTAAAATAAAAGCTATACAGTAAAATCTGATAAATCTAAAGCTTAGATGATGAAGAAATAAACCTGACCCTTTTGGACCACATAAGACAGGAGGTTTTAGTTAATAAGGTGAAACAGAATAATATTTATGTTTGTGCATACATGGAAAAAAAAAAAAAGATAAGGGGCAAGAAATCTAAACATAATTTTACTTCTAAATATTTGATCCTTTATATGCACTAAAGAAATGTGTTTGCAGAGTACACAAGAATGTTTTTCTATTTCTGAAAAACGAAAGTAGACTGTAGAAAATACGGATTTTTCTTAGTTGACTTTCTGCCTCTGTCTGCTGGCCCTTTTCTGCCTACTCGGCACTTCTTGACTCCATCCAACCACATGTGAATAACACAGGAAACCTGGGTCTGGAAAAGTAAAGAACTTGGTCATAATGAAGCAATACTAGTTAAGCATTGTTACTGGTTTCCTTGATGTATTTTTTCTGCTCAGACATTCAGTGTTTCAAAGTGAAGCCCATTCTCAACCTTCCGGCCAAGTTTCAAAACAAGCCTGTGTCGGAACAAATTGTCAGGTAAGCTGGGCACTGCAAACTTCTTCACAGTAACGGAGCGTGTAAGCCAAAGTCACACATCGTTTTCTTCAGTCCGCCGTCGCCCAATTTGCTTTCCCCAGCCGCTCCGACAGTTCATAGAGCCTGTGATGACATGCTAGCGGTGGATTGGGTTTGCTTTGTGCCGTGCGCACAGAAGCGCCGGTATGAAGGTGATTAAATCTTGATTTAAATGTGGGTCTGTGTTGAACAAACGCTGGTTGACCTTCTTGTTGTTCTAGAGGCTATTAACTTTCACCAGCCATCTGCCATTAGTCACTGTGCCAAGTACAACATTGTTTCTCTGCCATCGTTAATAGCATTGTGTCAAGCACCGGGGCCACAGCAAACAGCCCCCCCGCCCGCCGTACGCGCTCCCCCCTCGTCCGTGTGCCAGCCGGGCGCTGCTGTGCTCAGCTGTGCAAATTCGCTTTGATATCCCACCCAACGCTTCAGTGGACATGATTAAAAGAAGGCGTTTACTTGGAAAAACCTTTAGGCAAATTTACCTGGGCACTGATCTTATCATCGCCCTGCAGCAGTGGGCTTTCAACAGCCAGTTGGCTTGTTTGCTCACTCTGTCTGATTGGAACATGTGACTCTGTTAATGGCCCAGATTAGACAGTCGTGTTTAGACACAGACAGAGAAATGTTCCACGCCGGCTGCCCGTTCGCTTTTTTGACGCCAATTTGGCCTCTACGTCTCTGGCTCTCCCTGTTCTTCTACCACTTGCCTCTCTGTCCCTTCTCTCTGTTTTCTCTCATTTATTCTCTCGTTCGGCAAAGAGATCAGCGGTGCATAGCAATGAGACCGAGCCATTTGAGCTGAAGGGTCAAAGCCACAGGCAGAGCGCAGCCCGCTTTTGACCTTGCCGTGCCGGACCAAGCCACTCCATCATCTTTAGCCGGTCTGCCAGCTAATGACCTGTAAATGTCGTAATTTGGGTCACAAACTGATTTAAATCTGCAACATTAATCTGTTTTATTAGATCAGAAGCCATTTTTGTTAATGCTGCCGTTTCTTGTCTAATCCGTGAACGTTGGGGTTTAAATGGGTGCCCTTTATAAGAATCAACTTTGTTAAAAGACGTTTTTATAAATTTTCTATGGTACGTCCTTCTTGCTTTGCTTAAAATGGCTTTATAGTGTCAGGAAATCTACCTGTTTTTGTTATAACCAACCTGTGGTGTATTTACAGGTAAATCTCAATAAAGTATAGTATCGTTTAAAAATTATTTTATTCATTAAATCAAAAGAATGAAACTCCTGCTGATTAATATGACATGATATTATTGCAAATATGTGTTGCGTCGGGGAGGTGACCGGAAGGAAGCCCTAAAAGTACCTGTATACCTATTTTTAATACTGTACTTTTTTCTTCCACTCAACTTACTATTCATATCTTTACAGTAAGCCCTCTGCAAAAAAATAAATAAATGTGGGCTTAAATTTTCCATCCACATTATTTGAATTAACAGAAAAAAGAAATTGAGGTATATAAATTACATAAATGTATGTATTATACGAACTTTATTTATTTATTTATTGATTGGCTGACTTACCTTACCTTTAAATAATACTCAAATTTATTCAGATCTACCTGTTTACGGATATGAAATGCAACTTCTGTGTTCATTTCCACAAGGGAGGAAGATCCAGTCAGCTTTTCCAACCTCTGCTGTGGAACCCCATTTTTTTTTTTCTTTTTTTTTCCACACTGAAAAGTCTATTAACCTGATCAGGCAAAGTTCATCCCTGCTTGTCGCAAGCCTCTGTTGCATGGGCTGCAGCTTATCTGCATTTCTGACAAGTTGAGCTACCTTTATAGCCTCCCAGTGATGTTTGCGAGGCATTTATGTCCTATGTTGGTAAGGCGAGCCCCTTCTGATGGAGGTAAATCAAGCTTGCTAATGCCGTAGCGTCTGGCAGGCCTGGCCTAGAGCGGGTTTGTACTGTGTTTGACCTGAAGCAAAGCAATCAACCTGTACCAATCAAGCTATAGATTGCCAGTAACAGTTTTAATTTACTGAGGCTCAGATTTTCTCTCTCTCTCTCTCTCTCTCTCCAGCTTCTACACAGTAAATGAAGTCCATAAATTCCAGTATTCCAGGCCGGTGAGGAAGGGAGAAAAGGACCCCGACAATGAATTTGCGGTACTTTTTAGCATTTCTTTATTCAACCTGCTTTTGTTCTGTTTGTTGTTTGACAAAATAAGATTGTTGCCAGGCATAGCGAAACCACCTTGAAGGTTTTAGTATTTGGATGGTTGTTGTGATTGAAGCGTAAGCAGTCAGAATTTGATTGCTGATTGCCAATTTCTCTCCAAGAGCATTTTCATATCTGGCCATCACATCGAGAGCTGTCACCATTTTGTATATGCTCTAAAGTAATTATAGCTTTCAGCGTCTTAAATTGGTAATTAAAACAGTTTTAATTGCTATTATTACCTGAAATCTGAGATTTCCACAAGCCTGAGAGCCATTTCCAAATCCTTTGTGTTTTGGAAAGACAGAAATTGAACATTTGACTTTTCAACCAGCTTATTACATGTCAGGGCTAGTCAAGCTGAAAGGCAGCAATTTACAGTCTTCAGCGGGTTTATTTTTATTTTTCTTTCCAATTGTTACACTTACGTGAATCAAGACACACCTGCATGATGCACATTTGGAAAACCTTCCGAATTAGATTTGTATCCTGCTGAGCATGTATTGTACTTATAAAATGGAATCACAGTATTAAAATCAACTACAGAATGATGATGCAAGCAGTTGAAACTTTACTGCCGAACAACTTCAGTAGGTAGTTAAATCGTAAACAGGTTTACAGAACAACTTTCGACGCGGGCACAGAGATCCCTCCACCTTTACTGACTTTTATTACATTAGGATAATGTGATGCTGAGAAACTTGTAAAACCAGTTCAATTTGAGCAAATGTTTTTAGTTGAAATTAAAAATAATAAAAATTATTATTCTATAGTCTACATTATTTCACAATAATAGAAATTCCTGGTGTCACAATTAGTGGCACCTCTGAAAAATTCTTCTAAGTGAATCCGTCTGAATCGCTTTTGGTTTTATGCGTTTTATTTTGTAGGTAATCCTCATAAGATCAGGAATCCACCTAAAGCGATGAAATATATCTTCAAATCTTACTGGGAGGGAATTTCAGCAGGTTTTGTGTAACTCCGTACCTACTGCTTGACACAACTTAAGCCTTGATCTAAGTTTTTGCAATGGATCTTCCGTCCTAAAGAAGTGCAATCTTTTAAAAACGTTGCACGTTTTTCCTGCTTCAAATATTATGGAGACAGATATTTTGATGCAAAAACAGTGCTAAGTTCACTTTCATCTGAAATGACTTCTGTCATTGTGTTTTCAACAGAACATGTGGCTTGAGAGGACCACGTACACGACCGGATACAAGCTTCCCGGCATCCTGCGCTGGTTTGAAGTCAAATCGGTCTCCACGGTAAGTATGAAGGAGCCTTCGTGTCGAGCGGGCCTCCTAATCAGATATGGGTCCACTTGAAGGCAACTGATGTGATTAATCTGCATAAGCGGTATGGACAAGCGCCTGGACACCGGCACGCCACTCTTCGAACTTTACAACAAGGCATGCTTTCTCTTTACGCACATCGATTTGCCAAGCCCTCCCGTTTCCACCGAAAACAGCCAGGCAGCACAAATACTGCTGCAGGACTGTTCAGACCTTCCGTCACTGTTGATTTTCTGTAGAATTACCTGGATTGCTGTGTTTGAAATCCTTTGGTAATAAGGTCAGGCTGGAATCCGCGGCTGAACCACCTAGAGACGCTTTGCAATTTAGCCCATTTCGCTCGCTTTCGATAATTTGAAATGCTGCTTGCGTGTCCCAGATTTTGGGGCTGAGCTGTTGTGTGGGGAGTGGAGAAATTAGTTTATCAACATAATTTGGAGAGGAAGTCGCTGTGTCACTTGGAGCAAAGACGCCCACTGTATCTCTCTTTTTTTTTTTTTTTTTTTTAAATCTCCTTACTTTGTCCCAATGCAAAGCCACTGCTTAGTTTGATTAGCCTGGCGGAAGTATTCTGCTATCAATTACCCTTTGCCATAGAAACAGACACACTCAGAATAAGAAGGTCTCTTTTCATCTCTACTTTATTTATATTGCGTTATTTTGTCAACACAGTTATTTTCTTAAATGTATTCAATTATAAAGCTAAACAAATCTAGCTAAAGTAAATTGGATGAGCTTCGTTTAATTACTTGTGTCCAAATAAAGCAGTTTATTTCAGCTGGAGATGCATTCTCTGGTTTTTTCCAGCGTATGTTTAGACCCGACAGCTTTGATCCGGTGGTTCTTGTATTGAAAAACTGACCGCAGCTAAATCCGTCTAGAAATTCGAGCCTTGTCTCCACAAATGAGAAACTTGTAGGAACCGTGTGTTGAGGTGTCACTCTTCATCCGTCGCCAGAGTGACTCAGAGCAGACATCCCCTCCTCCAGGCTGGCCTGAAACTTGCTGTAAGTAGCAGCTTGCCCCCCATATGAGCCGGGGAAAGGCCGGGTCCCCAAGGTCAGACTCTTCTATTTAAAGCTTAATGACGAGGCTGAGATTCACCAGGCCTAATCCCTCCATCTGACACTTCTTTTTTATCACAGTGACCTGAAACATAACAGCGCAGACTGGAGATTTGTCTTTGCTTGCCTTGGCTGGGGTCTAAATCTGACATTTGTTCAACAAGCCCCTCATCTGTCCTCTAAACCCTTACTTAGAGGGAGGTGTTTATTTATTTTTATTTTACTGGGATTGATCGTACATGGCGCAACATATATTTTAGCTGGAATTTTGCTTTCACACTGTGATGGATTTATAGCAGCTCTTCTAAATATTGTTGTTCTTTGATTTTGCAACCACTTTAGCTCAATTATTTGTTTAGCACTAGCAAGATTTATGAAATAGTTTGAGTGCAAAAAAAAAAAAAACTGAATTTGTTTCTGTATTCTGAATGAATAAGTTGATTTATGCTGATACCTGTCACATTTTCTCAACACAGAGTAACAGTAAACGGATAAATATGTGCTTATCATTCCGGATGTCCCTGTTTACGTGCTCTGCTGCACAGGAAGAGATCAGCCCTCTGGAGAACGCCTTGGAAACGATGCAGCTGGCCAATGAGAAGATCAGCAGCATGGTGCAGAGGCACCTCAGTGATCCCAATCTTCCCATCAACCCTCTCTCCATGTTGTTGAATGGGATTGTGGACCCTGCTGTCATGGGAGGTTTTGCTAACTATGAGAAGGTGGCTAACATTGTTATTTTCTGTTCCCTTATTTTATTGTCATCTGCAGACATAATTTTTTTCCTTATTCTTTGTGTCTTGGATTATTGGATTATTATTTGAATAATAACCATTTGTTAATAAGGTAAATACTTTGAGATATACAATCTCTTTTCAAGAAGAACCTTGCAAAAAAAAGCATAATAAAATAAACAAGCTGAGAATATCAAGAGAATATGTTTTCAATTAAAGTAATTTTGCAAAATTTTAGTGGTTTTGAGTCAGTACAGCATTTGTAGTATTGTCATGTGAATCCTCATTTTGGAGGGATCTTTCAGAGTAAAACTTTGTATATTTCTTTAGGATTTGAATTTCTGGGGCATTTACAAAGATCAGGGCACATCGAACATTAGAGGGAGCTAGAGGCAAGCAGCTAGTATCTCTCATAAATTATCTTCCAAAGCATTTAGAAACTTCATTTTGGACCGTAGAAAATTTTAAACCACAAGAAAAAGATTAACATTCCGTGTTTTTTCTTAAAAGTTTACAGAACAATTTGGGTAGTTGGATTTTTGTTGTTTAAGCCGCTGGACTGTGTTGGGATTTAACGTTAATGCCCCCTTAAGCGCTTATGAAAGCAGTTCTGTTTGCCTCAGATTCAGCAACAAATGGGTACGAAGTAAGTACTAGTTCTGGTTAAGCACTGGAGCCAATTTGGTGGGAAAAAAAAAAAACACCTTACACGTGTTTAAATATTTCTTGTTCTCATCAGTTTTCTCCTTTTATAGCTCTTGTGAAAATCCTCATTGTTGTTATTCTCCTACAATTACTATCTTTGAAGATTGTTACTTTCCTTGAAATAACTCAACTTTTTGGGGGGGTTTTTTCAAAATCTCATTTCCTATGGAGTCCACCCAGTGACCTGTGTGGCAAACAGTCATTCTTTTTGAGTTACTTTTGATAGAAAAACTTACAGATAACACATTTGTTCCCCAGTGCTCATCCTTACCTGTGATAGATTTATACTGGTCTCATGAAAGTCATTGTTTGAGTCTAAAGCGGAGCGATGGGAATCCCTTGCCCTCTGGTCACTCTTTTATTTCCGTGAAGTATTGCAGGTGGTGGAGAGCAGACTGAAATCTAGATTAAATTTACTTTAATTTTATTTTAGTAGTGCTTGCCTTGCCTAGTCAGACTTTTATTCCCCTCCGTTTCTATGTACCTCATAAACTTTTGGACATCTCAGCCTCCCTCTGAACCTTTTCTTACCTTCTTAACAGAGTCTCTCTTCCCCCTTTCTCAGGCCTTCTTTAACGACAAGTACATGCAGGAGCACCCAGAGGACCACGAGAAGATGGAAAAACTGAAAGACCTCATAGCCTGGCAGGTGAGCCTAAAGCTGTCAGAGACGCTCTCTGTTGTTTTCTTTCCTTTTGTTTGCTTCGGTGTTTCCTCTAGGATGTCGTAGTTCAAGACAAACAGCCGTGATTGCCTTGTCACAAGTTGTTTACTTTGAAAAGATGATGCATTCTGTGTTACGGTGTCACCTGTACTGAGCAGAGGACGACCTGGCCTACAGGCTGCAAAACGTAGGTGAGGAGCAGGAGAGGCATGATGATGCACGTCCAAGGCCCCTTGGCTTTTTTTAGCATAATTAAGCCTTAATTTACACTAATCTGGTTAAGAAATATCTACATTGTCTCCCAGGAGCTCAAACGTCTATAGAAGATCTCTGTTTTATTTTTATGAATATCGCTTCAGAGACTGAGCGGCCTTGGTTGAACAGCCAAAGCCTTTGCATGTATCACATTGTGTGTTTTCCTCTGTGAAAAAACCCTCTGCTATTATTGGGAAGCATAAATGCTTTTATTTAAAAAAAAAAAAAAACCTCGCTGAAGTGCTTTTATTACAAATGGAGGCAAATTAGAAGCTCACAAGTGAAAATTTAATTTCCAAAAAACTGGTAAGTGCTTTGTTTGGAATGTCTGATGGCTGTGGCTGAAATGAGAAAGATAAATTGTGTTAACCACTTTATATAAGATAATGGCAAAGAAATGTGATGAGGCAAACTTTCAGGGGATGTTTGGAGGCGGCTGAAATGTCTGAAAGGTCTCACCGATTCATTTCCTGGCTATAAACCTCCACTCAGAAGTTTACATATGGGCATGAATTGCTTTTTTTATTTTTTATTTTTTTGGGGGGGCTCTAAGTGCCTTATTTCAACTCTATTTTTTACCAGAACTGAATGATTATACACCATTCAACTTCACCAATTAATTGCAAATTAATAATTAATTGTGTTACCAGTTGTTACTGCAGTTCTGGATGAGCATGTGGTTGATCATGTGCACTTCTTTCTTGATCAAGCTTTCTCAAATCTCTGGAATGACTCGGATATATATATATATATATATATATATATAAAAAGTGTGCTTTTTCTGAAACTTGCTAAGGGACATCAATGTTGGTGTTTATTTGGATTTGAGCATTCAGGGTCTTTTTTTTAAATAATGTAACATGTTGGGAGTATAATCAAAACATTGTTTAATAAACAGCTAAAAATCTCAAACTCATGACATCAGCGTCTACTGTGAGTTTATGTACACTCGTGACTAAAACTGAGCTTCTTAAGAAAACACACTTTGAAACAAACTCAGCAGCTTGTCTGTGCTAAACCGTGGTTTCATTACACTCTTGGTTGTCTTTTTATCTGCAACAACTTGGGATTTGAAAATGCTGCCCTGCAAGCTTTGTTTTGCATCTTTTATTGCTCTTGCTTTGCTGTATAGCTCTAAACTGTGGGTCACTTTAATATTCAAGAAATCATAGTTTCCTGGTTTATGGTTCACCCAGGAATTAAGCACATATACAAGAGGTATGTCTGTCGCTTCCTATTGTTGGCTGCAGGGGGGGAATAATTATATTTTCAATCGCTGTTCTTGTCTTAGTTTCTGGAAAATAGGTCAGCTTTAGGCTCCACATCTCTGGTAGGAATGAAACTCTTGAGAAGATGTGCTATTTTGTGGTAGTGAACCCTTTTTTTCTTCACAGGAAAATATGATTCATACAGAAATACCTATGTCTGCTTCACTCTTTCTGCACTGATGTCTTTGAAGCTCCATGTCCTTTTGAATTTTTTTTAATTTCCATTTTTACTTAAACTTGGGGAAAATAGAGGAAATCCCCAAACTAGTTGAAGTTTACAAAGTAGCTTTGGATGACCTAGAAATTGCAAAAGTCTCTATTTTATTATAAACATCAAAGTTTGTTAAATGTGTGAATTTCAGTCTGGAAATAGATTTTACCATTCCAGAGGTTTTTATTTTTTTAGATTTTGAAGCAAAGGCATGCTTACTTTGTTTTGAATAACTTTGTTTGACTTTGTTTCCTGTACTCGGCTCAGATGTCAAAACTTCAAAGTCTTCATCAGGTACTATATATATATATATTTTTTTTAGCCTTAAATCAGGTGAAGACCTGGTACTAGAAATCGTTTTTCATTTTAGCATCTTTCTCTTCTCGCTGTCTTTGATGTATCAGTGAAATACAGCATACGGCTATGAAATACATGAGCAAAGTTCTGGCTGTCTTTTTTGAGTTAGAAAAGATTTATTATCCATCCATAGTTGGGGCTGCACAATGGTACAGCAGGTAACACTGTTGCCTAGCAGCAAGGCGGTTTTGACGATTTTTGCTTTATAAAATAATACTAAAGCTGTGTCCGAAAAGCCGTTATGTGTTTTTTTTACAGGAAAAATGTCTTGGAACCCCGTTAAACAGTATGAGCTGTCCTGTTTTCTTGACCAGCACCCTTGTTTGTCTTGTCTTTTTTGAAATTCTCTAAATGAAGACAGACACACTCGAAAGGAGGAAGTGAACTCGGAGAGAAGCATCCGTGTGACATTGGCTTTGTGCTCATCTAGTAATTAGAGAAGAAATGAGGGTTTAGAAACCGGCGAATTAAGTTTCTGGGGAAAGCTGTGAAAAGACACTGGGTGTTTTGCTGGCGTTCATAAAGAGTGGATGTCAAAATGACTGGCTAAAGCTAACAACTTTTAAATGAAATGTTTGTCATGCACAGTAATGAAAGTAAGCAGCAAATTATACACATAACTAACATCCAAGCATCAGCTGCCTATTCACAAACACAAAAGCGGGTCCCTTTCTGAACTGTAACAGTTGTTTTTTTTTTTTTTTCTTTCCCCCAGAACGCTTTCTTTTGACAGGGACTTTTACTCCAGCTTTTGGTGCCTTCATCTCATAAAAGCTAGCCCGGGTGCTTATTAGTCTGCCTGACTCACCAGTAGCTGCGTGGACCTTTTGGCCGTCATGAAAGGTCTTAATATGTCATCTCAGCCCAGCTCTAAGCGAGTGGCAGCGTCTCAGCTCACCAGGCTGTTGATCAGAAGGCTGTGTGGTGAGGCAAACGGGGACGGAGTGACGGGAATCAGTTTGGCACAGACTGATATTAAACAGCAGTGACATTCCCTTCTTACTTGTCAGCTGCTAATGTTGGTATGTTGTTCTTCATGAACTGATCAGGGGTTTATTTTATTTTTATTTTGTTGTATCCTCAAACCCCCTGAAAGCATTTTGAGAAATATATGTCCCTTGTGTGTAGAGACACACAACCAACAGCTATAAGTAGTTGTGAATATTCTTCAGAACTTATTTACATTTTTCCTGCTACAGCTTAGTTGTCTTTTTCGGTAAACTGTCACAACAACCAGTTATATTATGCCACGTTTAAAGAAACCCTTTATGCTAATTTGTAGATATACTCTCCTTGTTCAGAGTCTCTGCAGATGTAGCTTTCCGTCTTACTTTTATCTCCGCATCAGTGTATTCTTTGCCTAAGGTTTTGTGTCCAACACTTTAACGCCAACCTCTACCAATTAGTTCAAGCTCCTGGTTGCTCTCGCTCCATTGGAGGTTCCGAAGACAGTTTTCAAACTACTGAAGCATTATTTATTTACTATGCATCAAATCTACAAACATAAATCCAATCAACAGCTGCAATCTTATTAATGTTTGGCGCATAACATGCTATTTAACCTTTTTTTTGGGGGGGGAAGGTAATGTGCTCACATTGTCATTCATGTGTTTGGTTTAAAAATGTTCTTTATAAATCTGGAACAGGCAATCTATAAGTAAGAAAAATAAGTAGCACAAGATCCTGTCTACAGTGTGAACGCTCTGTTGTAGGTAATTATGCAAAGGAAGAGAGGGATTCCATAATTTCACTCATTTTTTACTGAATACAGAGAGATATGTGGCTGTTCAATCAGTTTAGTCTTCTAAGGCACATCATTAAATCTAGAACAGCATTTAAGCAGTTTTGCACAATATTGCACTGGATAAATAGAATTATTTGCAGTGTGATGATCTAATATAACATGGATCTTATCTGGCACAAAAATATAACTGATAAATATTTCCATTTGGTTAGTATGCTAAGAAAATTAAGACATGAATCAATCCTTGCAGAAACTTTTTGTTCCATGTTTCAGGTTTTGTTTGTCTTTTTGCCATCACAGTCTACCTACTATATATATATATTTTTTTTACCGACTTTAATTTGTTTATGTTAATTGGCTAAGTTCGAGGTTTGTCTGCTCGAACGCTTCTCATGGCATGTGACTAGGGTTTTATTGCTCACACCTATTGAGAATCGTGTAATAATGACATGAGGACTCTTGACTTTTGGTCAAAAGTGTCCCACCCTGAACAGCCAGATTAAGAAATCTCATTTTAAAATAGGAAAGAAAAAGGAGAAAACTTTCACACTCTCAATTTAAAGGCGTCACTTTATTAGTCTTGAAGAAAGCAGAATTATACGCTGACTCTAAAACACTCTAGTTTTAAGAATAAATCAAAAAGTTTAAAATGTATTAGTGTTGATTATTTTTTAAAAATCAACTAAATATTAGCATATGCATATTAGATATGACTCGAGTAAAATAAATCTTGTACGCCAATACATATCGAAGTTTAAGTATGTGCTGTAGACGGCAATTGTTGTAGGCTGAGAGGATCTCGTGTAGTGGTTCTGTCATTTTCCTTATTTTGTACAGTCATGTCCAGAGGTTCCAGAGCAGGCCCCTGAGGAGAACCTGCCTTCTGTTTCAAGTTGTTGAGCTTTTTAACGTCACTAATTCTGCTGCTGCTGCCCCAACAGATGACAACAGGAGAGCATAGAACCTGTTTAGAGCAGCCTTGAACCGTCTCATTATTCGAATCTTTGAACCAAAGATCAGACACAGGAATATGATTTATACTATGTGACGGATAAAAGGAAATATAAATGATAGCCTTTCAAGTTCCCATTAAAAAATATATATATGGTTCTCCCATTTTAACCGTATTTATGCATGTCTGTGTACTATT